CCAAATGCGGCAGTTTTGTTTGTTGACGTAGCCATTCAACCAGAAGTGCGCTTCATCGCTAAACAAAATTCGCTTATGAAAATTGACCATTATTTTCGAAATAAAGTCGCACAATTTGAAAGCGTTGTTCAGGCGTGAGTCTATTCATGATGAATTGCCAAACCAAACTGAGAATAAATCACTTGACAGCTGTTAAATCGGTCGCCATCTTGGAAAGTAATGCCAACTTAAACTTCTATACCTGGAAAAAAACACTCTGTATGTAAAAAAAAGTAAATAAATTTTAAAAATTTAATAATCTTTAAAAATAAATATTTTGTGCTGTAAAATATCAGTGTTCTTTGGTTATTTAGCATTTTTAAGAGTTAAAACTGCGTTAAAAAGGTCATTCGGTCTTTTCGTATTGTGAGAGTATTTTAGACCACTGTGGACTGACAGTACTTCAAACTAACGAATTAAATTTCCCAAAGTTGAGTATTTTACTTATGTATATCTCTTAATTTTCAAAGCAGTGATTCAAAAAAAAAATAGCATGAAAAAATTTACCGTAAATCATAATGCTGTAAATAAAGGTTTAAGGCACCCGACTACATTCGGAACCGTTATTTTCAAAAGCGCAGAAATGAATAACTTTCATGATATTTAGTGTCACTTAGATTAGAATATATGCATAAAATTGTTTTAAAGACATTTTGACCCAAAAAAAAATTTATTTAAATACAATATTTCGACAAAAAAATCCTTTGTGCAGCTTTTTTGAGAATTGTTACGTATTTTTATTATAAATATATTGATTTATGGTTTATTTTTTGTTCTTCGAGGTGAAATTATAATTGTTTTTCGAATAAATCGTCGCAAGAAGTATTCTTTGAAAGTTTCCTTCTCGGTTTGTGCTTACAGTGTTGATTCGACGTCCTTAATTAAACGTATTTTATCCTTTTCAGCAATTCGACGCTAATGTATAATTTAATCTAACCCATTTATTAATGTTAATGTTGTTCTTTCCTTTTTTTAGGATATGGCTGCTTCTCTCATTTTTATTATTTTGTAAACTACACTTTTCTTGCACATAATCTTGTCTTGCAATAATGCTTGTCGGCCCTCTGAGTGAGCGAGAGAGTTATGTTAACATCGCACTATGAAGCGACCCGAGGGTCATTGGCGACGGACCCGGTAATTTTGAACCTCAGTCACGTGACGAAAACGACACCGGGGCTGTCACCCACTCTCCTAACTTCTACATCTCGCCGACGGGAGGACATGAAGCCGCGACCGATTTAACGTGCATCAGCCCTGTCTACACTGTGGGTCTCTTCAGTGGCATCAGAATTCGACCACGCGACACTGACCACGAGTTCATGGTCATAACCCCCAGGCTACAGAGGCTACGCATACCGGGCTAATAGTAAGTAAAATTTGAAAAATTCTTTCTGTATTATTCAATGACCCTTCTTACCTGCTTCCATCTGCATAGCATGGTCATTAGGTCAAAGACGCTGTTGCTATTCCGTTTCCTTCTATAGAAACAAGTTATATATATATATATATATATATATATATATATATATATATATATGTCATGATTTTTAAGACAGAATCAGATTAAAGTTAGGAAAGTGAAAAGACGACCTTTATTCTTTCATTTTTACATCTGTTCTGACAGCGAGAGCTGGGAGGAAAAAGCCCGCTATGGTGGTGGTTTCAAGTGGATAACACTTAAAAAACATATGGTAAGTATCGCTGCTTTGAAGAGGGTGCTTGCAAATTAATGCTGACATATGTTGACTATTAAATCTAACAATCTGGAATTAGACATGTTTATTGGCTAGGCCATATGTTCGGAAGAAATAAATGGGTGATTAGTTTGATACTTGAAGATGGGAACTGAGAAAGATGAGTCAAGTGCTAGATAGGGAATTTAATTTTTAATCTAATTTAATTATCCTTACATTTGTCCCCCAATTTTAAAAGGGAGTCATGGCGTGGTTTTTTTCTCTCCTTACAAACTTAATCAATTTTCTATAAACACAAAACAATACATAACATTATTTAGAAAGACATATTAAACACAGTAGAAATATTTAAGCATTAGGAATACTAAAATCAAAATGCAATATAATAAACGAAACTATAACAACAAACACAGTAATGACAATTAATTGATAAAAATGAATTTCCATACATATAATTGAAGATTAGCTTGTTTAAATCTATTCGACATCCAGAAAAAGAGCTCGCGTTTCCTCCTATTCCTTCATAATAATAGATTCGTATTATAGCTGGTAGATATTTTCAAAAAAATTATGTTGGAAAATAATATATCAAACAATAAGATAGTAAATATAAAAATACATGAAATCATACAAATGTTAAAATAATAATTTTGTATAAAAATCTACTCTGGCGCCATCGTAGTAATACCTTATATTGTTACACACATTTTGCATTTATGAAATACATTTTTAAAAAGATAAAAAAAAATATAGACACTAATAAAATGAAATTATTAATAATATGAAAACGGTGTATAACACACAACTTCTATGCACTATCCAACACAATAAACAATGTTTTATTTCATATGCGTTATAAAATATAAAAATTATAAAAACATAAGAGCTCTTTTTTATTATTTTGAGTCGGAAAAGTGGACTCACTTCAATGATAACTTTTAGTATTTCTGAAAATTTTTCCCAATATTCATTGTAACTTAATATCGCATGCAATATTTTGAATCTTTCCGTAACCTTCTAAAAATACCGTTTCATAGACAAAAATTCTTGAGTTTCTCTTGCATCACACATTCACTAATAAAACTGTATCACCTTACTTAATTTTGAACACATCTCTCTGAGAAATCTGCGTCATCAACTCACAGATGTTCAGGGATGCTGATAAGAAACAATGAGAGGTGTACATATCAAACTAAACAAGTTTGTCCTCTTAATGTTTCGAGACATATACAAAATTATAATGATTGTATTCTCGCTTGTCCATTGTGTAATATCCAAAAATAAGCTTCAAGTTATTAAATTAATTTTAAATTTAGATAAGGAAATTTTTAAGAAATAGTGAATCTTGATATAGGGCCGGTATATCAAAACACACAATTTCAAAAAAAAATTAACTGACATTCAATAAGATTACTGCTGAATAAAATAATTAATAAAACAATAAAATTCAGTGAAGAAAAAAGAATACAACGTAACTTTACTTTTGTTTCTTATAAAAAAGAATATCACTAGTATTAGTTTATTAGTCATTTTTCTAAATACTTAATTTATATCTTTCACTTTAAAACACCAATTTCTATCATAACTCTTAACTCATTCGACATCTTAAGATAAAATTATGAGAAGTACATTAAAATTTCTCAAAATTTTGTATGACTAAACCTATATACTTTGTTTTCTCAATTAAAATATAAAGAAAATATCTCATTTATAACACAACTATATTATAAAAATTAAATACCATATGTCATATATTATTCTTTTTCGTAAAGTTCTGTTCAGCAAAACTCAGTTCTTCAATGTTACTAAAATTGGAAATATACAATTTAACTGACCTCCACTTTGCAGCGGCAGAAACCCTTGGTGAACGGTAATCCAGAGGTTGTTGTCACTTTATTTTCACTAGAAAAATTTTATTTATTTCGATATTGGTATTTCACTATGGCATGCGATTTTGGTCAATTCACTGTATTACCATGCAGATTTTCCGGCGAAGAAGATTTGCTCCTTTTATTTTTCTTTCAATATTGGTCCTTCCATCATTGTATCACTGGAACTAAATCACAATACCATTCGGAGAGAAACATATTTTTTATCTATTCTGGCGGAAGGGATTGACATCTTTCATCATGGAGTTTAGGGGATTCACGCTTTCTCCATTTTTTTTTTTTTTTTTTTTTTTTTTTTCTCTCCATTAGAATGTTTCTTCCATTCACGGTAAACTGGATGGCCTCTTCAGCAAAAACAGAATATCGTTCGGCTGTAAACACTGTATTCTTCTCGGTGTTAAGAGCGATGTTCTTTCGGGGATCTCTCTCTCACTAGCGCGTTTTTTCTTCTTTTTCTGTACCATTTTTTATTTCGGAAATCCGTCGTCTTCAGCATTTTGGTATATGGTGCATTTGGTGTTCCGTCAAATTCTCCATATCAATTATTATGGTCGCTGGCTTTAGTTTTTATATTAAAATTAATTTATAAAAAAGATTAGTTTTTTACGTTAAGATTTGAAAGTTAATGGCAAATAAGATCCTGCCGGCTTTAATTCTGTCATGATTTTTAAGACAGAATCAGATTAAAGTTAGAAAAGTGAAAAGACGACCTTTATTCTTTCATTTGTACATCTGTTCTGACACTGAGAGCAGGGAGGAAAAAGCACGCCATGGTGGTGGTTTCAAGTGGATAACACTTGAAAAACATATGGTAAGTATCGCTGCTTTGAAGAGGGTGCTTGCAAGTTAATGCTGACATATGTTGACTATGAAATCTAACGATCTGGAATTAGACATGTTTATTGGCTAGGCCATATGTTCGGAAGAAATAAATGGGTTATTAATTTTATACTTAAAGATGGGAACTGAGAAAGATGAGTCAAGTGCTAGATAGGGAATTTAATTTTTAATCTAATTTAATTATCCTTACACACACACACACACACACACACACACACATATATATATATATATATATATATATATATATATATATATATATATATATATATATATATATATAATTAAGTCAATTTCTACTTAGGATAACAAATAAAAATTGTATTTTAGTTACTTTTTATTAAACAGTTTTAACTGATATGACAGAAACACAATATTAAGTGGCAAAATAGAAAGTGATATTCCTTGAAGATTTCCGTTTTCCTTTCTATATATGGTGTGTGTGGAGAGGTGTTTTTTTTTTACTATGTATTCATTTACTAAATTTAACTATTCCAATTAAATAGAAGAGTAGAAACAAATCACATTCTCAGAAATTAGGACATCATTGGTAGGATTCGAACCTACGACTTTTGGATTAGAAGTCCAACGCGCTATCCATTGCGCTACTGAGATCCAATGAACGATTATCCTATATATATATGATGTTGTATTATTTTTGTTTCTTACTATTTATTCATTTTATAGTTTAATTAATGAATTAATATTTGAAAAAACTGTATTAAAATCAGGTGTAATCCACTAAAAGATTTTTAAAAACGTATTTGAACTTGAATGGATGCATGGACAGTATTTTATCAGCGATTGAAACTTTGGGCAATATATATATATAACATATATGGGATGCATAGATGCATGGGATATATAATGGATGTATAGATAGTATTTTGTCAGCGATTGAAAATTTGAGCAAGATATATATATATATATATATATATATATATATATATATATATATATATATATATATATATATATATATATATATACTATCGTCCCGACAGACGTTGTGCTGTACACACGTCTTAAATCCGAAAATTGCAAACATTTTGAATAAGTTGTAACAATGTGGACCGTTTTGATGAAATTTTTTATAAAGAAAGTTATTACAATATCTGACATTATCACATGTAGAGTTACCACAATTCGACCAATCGATTGCGCGTGAGTATGTATTTACTATGAACTAAGTTGAATATAGAACCTATTCTGAATAGAAACTTAAACTTGTTTTCGTTAAAGGGTAAAAAAGGTAAAACACGACCTATTTTCATAACAGGTATATTTCTTAATGCACGAAAAATAAATTTATCGTAATGCCATTGAATGTACAATGTTTTCGGTTAATCTTTGAGGGTATAAACAAACAATGAGCAATCGCGCGTCCTTACATAATTTTGCGCATTTTTAACTAATTGCGATATCGGACCGAATTATGAATCTAAATCGTTCTTGAATTAACTTGAACCCACACAAAAAATATCATCCAAATCGGTCCAGCCCTTTAGGAGGAGTTCAGTCACATACACACGCACAGAAGAATCTACACCAGTGGCGCACACAAGGGGGTGGGGTCCTGGAGTTCCAGACCCCCCCCAAAGCCCTTAATTTTTTCCCGATTGATTATAATTCTAAGTATATAATACGTAAAATTTAATTAATTACTTGTTATTAATGATTAATTTTATTAATTAATGCTAATTATTTAGTCAAAAATTATTTTTTTACTTTGTATTGTTCCCGAAAATTGACAAAATCAAAAGGAGCATGATACAAGAATGGTAAACTTCCGACCCCGGACCCCCCTCCCCTTGAAAAATTTATGTGTGTGCTATTGATCTAAACTATTAAAATCCGAAGGTAAACAAACATATCTATCTATCTATGTATGAATCTATGCTTCCCTATTTTCTCACGAACCTCACGACGCAGAAACTCATTGAAGGACCAAAATTTCGGGAATGGTCCGAGGAATCCGTTGTGACCATTTATATTCCGATATTCTAATTAGTTAAAAAGATATTAATTAAAAACCTTAAAACGCATTAATTAGTACCATGTTTCTCCGCCAGGGGACAAGCTAAAAAATTCGGAACTTCTTATATTTTTCAGACGTTTTTAAAACGCGATCTAGTTTTTTTCATGAAACTCACGCAAAAAATTATTACAGATAAGGAAAGATCACTTATTTTGCCATCATATGGTACAGTTTATTTTACAAAATAATTATATTTTCTATTTTTTACGATTTTTTAAAAATGAGTCAAAATCGATACATTTTTATGAATAAGATTTCTAAATCGTTCCGCTTGCATTTTCTTTCTCGCAAATTGAAAAAAATATTTTACACTAAAAAAGTTCAAAGCTTTTCTCTTTTAGAATGAGTCATTTAAAAAATTTAATATCAAAAACTTTTTTTACTATTTTTCAAAAAATACTCAAAATTTTATTTAAATACTTAATAACTTCTTTATTTATAAAAATAATCCCACGAAACTTTTTTTCCCATCTGTAGGAGACAATATTATACGTAATCTTACAAAGATTGATATCAAATCTTAAAAATTTCGGTTTAAAAAAAAACATGTGTTTTTAGTTTTTTACCCTTTTGCGAGAAGTATGTAAACATTACTTTTTTTTAAAGTTTTTTGTTTAAAAATTACCGTTGTTTTCAATCGATATATAAAGTTTGAAAGCATTAACTTAAAAATGATGCCCGAAAAATTTTTTTTAACTTTAACACAGTGTTTCTCAAACTTTCAATACTGGCGACCCAATTTTCAATCATAATTTTTCGTCGCCCCCCCTGAACAACAATAATGTATTTACTGCAATAAAAATGCACTTTGAGAGAGAGACGCTAAAGTTACAATACGATCTTAATTATAAACCGTACAAATTAATACGATAAGTATATTAAATTTTGTATAAGTAACTTTTAAGTAATATTATATTTTAAGAAAATTACATAAAATATAAATTACTTACTTATTATTATGTTATTTTTCTTTAATTTATAACTTGGAACAGATCGCAAAAAATGATATATTTAATAATTAATTTCTCCTTCAGCATTCGTTTCTCAAAGTACAAATGTCATTAGAAAAATAGTCTAGTCTATGTTGCTCTATCATATCCATCACATTTGGCATTATAGGGTACGTTTGCGTTAGTCTGGGCAACCTATCGGACGTCTAAGCAAAACATGTACAATTCCAGTCAGTTTTGGTCGACTCGATACTTCTATAGCTACCGAATATAGCTTGTGAATGTACATTTTTTAAATTTACACGTTAATTGTAATTCACGGTAATTAAGTATTTACGGCAGTAGATTAAAACAAAATCATACATACATTTTAAAGTCGTAAGCAAACAGTAGACGATAATAAAGGATCAACAAGTACACAGACGAGCATGGTTCCGAAAATTAAATCAAGGAAATAATCTCAAAAATACTTAAATTTTGGATTCACCACTGCTGAAGTAAATGATGGGGGAAAAAAGCCCCAGCTCGTTAAGTGTCAAAACTTACAAATCTGAAGAACAACATGTGAAAGTTGTTTCTAAAACCATGTAAAATCATTTAGCTATGTTGGCAAAGAATTTTAAAAAGTATTTCCTGGATGAGGACAGCTTGGTAGCAAGTTACGAGTGGATTAGGGATCTATTTCAAGATACTCCAGAAGGGCCCTCAACTTCCGAAGAAGAAATCTTTATACATTTCACATCCAGTGAAAATTTAAAAGGCAATTTTGTAATAAATCGCTCTTTGAATTTTGTGTAGAGGTGGATGATGAATTATCTGTACTGAAAACAAAAGCACTTCGTATACTATTACCATTTTCAACATCCTACCTTTTTCAAACCGGATTTTCTGCAGTGGATGCCTTGAAGACAAAATATAGATCTCAGCTAAATATAGAAAAATAACTCTTTAAGTGTCAATTTCTGATATTAAACCTTCCTTTGAAAAACTTTCCTCTACAAGACAAGCCCGTGGAAGTCCCTAATAATTATTAAACTTGTTCTTAATTTAGTAATAAGGAATTATTTATATAATACCTTTTTCAGTACTGATACATTAAACGTATACTGGCTGAAACACCGACTCTTCCCACGAGTTAATTTTTTAAAAAAATAAAACATTAGTCATGATATAATAGCTGAACTGTAAGGAGAGTAAAACTGCGTGCACGCCATTGTATACAAAAATGTAAAATGATTTTTTTAGATAAATGTTATAATAGTAAATAACTGTTTAAAAGAACTGTAATTTTAAACCTCACAGAATTAGCATTTAGAATTAATGTTAAATAATGAAAAATAATATAAAATTCCGATGAAGAATAATTGTGTTACTTTTTAACATTTAAAGCGCGAAGACTTCAAAATGTTTTAACCCAGGAGGAGGCGCGCACTCTATACTAACGCTAATGGTAGTGCGGGGGGACTCAGTCACCCCAATCATTTACTCATAACTATTTTAACTGTACACGATACAAATCGGAATTCCAGTGAATAATTTAATTAAGAGAAAGTATACTTACCGGCTTTCAAGAATTATTCAATTTTTCTTTGATGATTTGAGAAAAAATCCAATAAAACTTAACTAAAATGATTCAAAAGTGCAAGAAATAAAATAATAAAGGACGCAAATCTGAGACACTTTTCATTAACATTACAGAAATGTTATTTGATGGCAAAGCTTTTATATTTTGTTCCAAGTTATTGTAGTTTTAATGAGCTATCATGGTCGAATGAGTGAATATTAACGTCGCACTTTTCAGCTACACGTGGGCTTTTGGAGACGGACCTCGTAATTTTGAACCATGGTTAAGTGATGAGGACGATACATGAGCCGGCATCTTTTAACTACCACACCACTCCAACAAGAGGACGTTTGAGCTCTGGACAGATTTAACGTGCATCTCTCCTCTACACGGCGGGTCTTTAGTCGTACTGGGCTCGAGCTCGTGACACCTTTGGTAATCAACAAATAGCAAGTTGAACCTTTTCTTTCTTGTGTCTTTTTGACAAGGTGAACTGAACCTTGTGGTACACTTATGGCTTTATATTTTAGGTTGATGGAGTTCTTTAGGAAGCATTTGAAAGTTTTCCTTTCGTTTCATGTTCATGGCGCTTCGCAATCATGAATAATATGTATTCTTTCAGCAGGTTTTCCTTTTGCTTGATCAGTTTCAACTTCCTTCAATAGAGATCACAGATGTCCCGCGCCACCGCTCCCGGTTTAAAAGTGTATTCAGAAAAAAATACGGATGATCTAAATAACCATACCAGTAAGTTTGAAGGTCAATCAAATGATTAACAAATGTATTATGCAGCCTGGCAGAAAAGTGAATCAAGTCTTCGTTTTCTTTTTCTACAACTAATGTACAGTATTTCAATAATAATTATAGTGATGAATTGTTTATCTTCTTAGAATTTTTCTCAGGGTCTGTGTTTCGTTTTTCTTTTAACGAGTAATATTTTATTTTAAAACGTAATAAAAAAATCTCTCATTGAGGAAATACAGCAAATTAAACAGAATGTTTTTTTCTTCTTTAATTTGGTTTTGGGATCAAAGATAGCTATTTGATGACGGAAAAACGCCAGAT